GAGAGAGAGAGAGAGAGACGTCATGGACACAGACGGGCACGTGGAAGATGGAGTTTGACGGGGGGTACGGATGGTCAACAACGAGCATGCGCACGGGGCATGGGGCCCGCGGGGCCAGAGAACGCGCGGAGCAGAGGAACCACCGAGCGAGAACGAGGCGGGTGCGATAACGATGCGCCCTTGGGGGGGGGGGGGGGGGGGGCGGACGGGATACATCGGCGGTGGCCCTGGAGGAGGACGGGAAGACGGGACGGGGGATCAACCATAAGTGCAATAACAATAATAACAACACGCGTGCTATAACGGGGTGCACAGCCATCACGACACGCGACGCGCCGCGCAAGCGGCGTGGCGTACATGGTCTGCCTACGCGGAAGTGGCACGCGTGCCAGGAAGCGAACGTGGCCGAAGCTTCTGACGCGTAGTTTACTGTGCGAGGACGAGTTGTGTGTGAGCCCGCAAGCTGCCAAGCTCGCCCCCGCCCAAACCGAGACGGCTCAGGACACACTGGGGGGATGAACTGTGGTTGGGGAGCGGACGCTGCAAGGGTGCGGAGGAAACAAGAAGAAGCGCTCCACGGGGACATGGCAACGGACGGAGATTGCGTTACCGCGGTGGTCTGTCATCAACTTAAGCGGGACGCTCTGTTGTTGGTGGACAATCGTCGGTCTGGGTGCGTCCGCGATGGCGATATGGCGATATCCCCAAGCGTCCTAACCTCACCGTCAACATCACCGTCATCCTTCCCCTCACCCCCTATCCTCATTACCACCCCCCATCAAGACATCCTTACTCTCGCCGCCAGCGTCATCCGCATCTGAATCATCGCATCTCTGCCCATGAGCCCTTACTCTCAGCCCCATCCACGCCCTCATCCCCAATCCACTAACACCCTCGCCCTCAATTCCGCTTCCTCCTCACCTTTACCCGCATCATTCCCCTCCTTTCGATGGATGGCCGCACTCCAGACTAGGCTTCGAGAGGTCTCGAGCGGCATCCACCACTACTTGCCCTCTGTGCCTCGCCGGCCGTCTCGTACAGGTACATGGCGTTGTTATTCTTTCACGTGGCCTGCTCCCTTAGCGGGTAATCGCCCTCCTTGCCAGATACCAGTCCATACCCTGATTGTGAAGCCGAACGTTCGGGGTCATTACGCCGATTCAGAGACGGAGAGATTGCAAGGCTATACCGGGAAAAACCGACGGTGCCGACCTAGCAAGTTCGCACACCGCGTCGTTCGGAATTGGTCATGAACGCTCACAATGAAAATGGCCTTTGTGTTTGCCGGTCAACACCCTACCGCGTAAGTGCTCTTCATATTTGCCGCTGAACATTTGCTACACCCCAGCTGGTGTATGTAGCGGTGCAGGCCGTGTTCGCAAGCTTCGGCTCGGATGGAGCAGCCTGGTGTGTTATAGACATTCAACAACAATTGAGCAAATAACGTGCACACTGGCTTCACAATTTCAAGTCGAACTGCCCGTCGTGTCTGTGATACTCGAGCCCCGTCTGAGCCAAGTCGGTGTCGGTGAAGTCCCTGGGGTGTTTCATATCTTCATCGGTGTGTCATGTTTTTTTTTTTTTTTTTTTTTTTTTTTTTTTTTTATATATATATTATTGTTTTCCTCTATGACTTCGGGTATATGAATGTTCGAAGAAAAATGACATCGAGTAGCCATGCGAGGAGGCCTTTCGACGACACAAACGAGCCAGGCCACGACGGAAGCGTGGTTTCACGACTCGCGCCGCAGGCTGGCCGCGCCCGCGGGTCTGTGCCTACAGAAAGGGCGTGCTTCTTATCCGATCTGGACCGCAATCTTGGGATGCCTCGGTCCATTCCATTGTCGTCTTCTTCGTCCTCCTTTCCTCCATATCCTTGCGCTGTCTCCTCCTCCCTCTGCCATGCTTGATCCTCGCTCCTCAATCCTCCTGCTCCTCGTCTACTCCGCCAACTCCACCCTCCCGCTGCACTCATCAACCTGCCCTCCTGCCTCTGATGAAATGTCCTGAGCCCTCCCTTCCCTTTTCCTGTCCCTTCCATCCTCCTGCGTGCTCCTTCGTACTCCTTCTCCCTTCCTCTTCCTCTCTGCTCCTCTCTCCCCTCGTCTCTCCTGGCTCTTTTTTCCTCGCTGCTCTTTTTTTCTCCCTCCATCCCTCCTCATCCGCCGCCCCGTTTTTTTTTTTGTTTCTGTCTCTCTCTCTCTATATATATGTATGCCTATATGGATTCCGTATGTCTCTCTCTCTCTCTCTTTACCTCTGTGTGTCTGTCTGTCTGCCGGCCTGCCTGTCAGTCTGTCTGTCTGTCTGTCCGTCTGCCTGTCTGTCTGTCTGTCTGTCTGTCTCTGTCTGTCTGTCGGCGGGCTGCTGCGGCGCTGGAGGCACGAGCTCCCGCTCTACGAGCAGGGGGTCCCGCTCTGGGATAGCCCGCGGCCGGGCCACCCCGGGGAGACGGAGCGCGCCGTGCTCGACCTCGAGTTCCAGGACGACGACGTGCGTCGCTGACTCGACGTGTCCGTGCGGCACCCGCCGCGGTCACCGAGGCGGAGCAGCGGGTCGCGACCCGCCGCGACGGCGAGGCGAGCCGGCGCGGCGAGCGAGCCAAACACGCGGGCTACCCAAGGCGAGGGCTTCACCCCAATCCTCCTCGAGGCGGGGGGTCGGCTCGGGGCCGAGGCGCGCCGCTTGCCCGACGCCAAGCAGGCCCGCGAGCTCGCCGGCGCGCACCGCGTGCTCTCCTGCGGCTTGCAGGGCGAGCTGGCGCGCCAGCTGCGCGCGGCTGCGGGCTTGCGCTGAGGTGACGGCGCGCGGCGCGCCGGCGCCAGGGCAGCGGGCGCTGCAGCGCTGGTGGCGGCGGCGGCGGTCCCTGCGGTTCTGGCGGCGGCCGCGAGGGGGGCGCTGGGAGGCACGGTTGGGTCGGGCATGTCCCCCTACAGGCGGCTCTTGGACGAAACACAAACGCTACCCAAAAACACAGATTCCCCCAAAATGCTCAAAGATGGTCCAGCAAATCGTTCCCAGAGTATTTTTTCACTATTCTGGAATCTTAGAGACCTCGTCGGAGTAGATGGGGTCGGAGGATCGCACCGCATCGCCAATGCATCGCCGATGCATCGCTGATGAATCGGCGATGCATTGGCGGCATCGGCGGTGCATCGGCGACGCCAGCGCGAAGAAAGTCGGGCTCCGCATCGAGCCGCGTCGCCGATGCATCGCCGATGCATCGGCGATGCGGCGCGATCCACCGACCCCATCTACTCCGACCCCATTTAGGAGGCCTAGAAATCTTCCGCTTGTCGAGGGACATGCCCGATCGTCAGGCCACGGCGGCGCGCTGCTCGGCGGGCGGCCCCCCTCGGCGCTGCCGCGGGCCGCCCTGCCAGGCTGGCGCGGCGAAGGCCAGCCGCGGGGAGCTGCAGCGCGCGGCTGCCTGCTGCGCTGGCCAGGGCTCCTCCTCCTCCTCCTCCTCCTCCTCCTCCTCCTCCCTCCTCCTCCTCCTCCTCTGCCAGTAGCCTCCTCCTCCTCCTCCTCCTCCTCCGCCAGTATCCTCCTCCTCCTCCTCCACCTCCGCCGGGCTGGAGGCTGGAGGGCGGCGGCGAGCGGGCGCCGCGCTGCCTGGGCGTCGGCCCGGGGGCGTGCAAACCCACTTCCTGGGAAAAGTCCTGGCAAGGGATTTCTGCTGGGGTGGGTGCCAGTCGCAACTCTGTCCGAGTCGCTGGGCGCGGGCTCGCATGCATTTTTGCTGGTGCTCCTCTGCGGACAGGCTTCGAGCGTGCAATCTGCTTGTTTGCCTGTCCGTCTGTCTGTCTGTCTGTCTGCCTGCCTGCCTGCCTGCCTGCCGGCCTGCCTGCCTGTCTGTCTGTCTCTCTGTCTCCCTCTCCCTCTCTTGTATCTCTCACTCTTTCTCTGTCTCTCTCTCTCTCTCTCTCTCTTTCTTTTTGTCTTTCTTTCTACCTCTCTCGCCCGCTGACGCCCCCTCCCCCGTCTCCCGTCCTCCTCGTCCTGCCTCCTCCTCATACTTGTCTTCTCTCCTCCTCCTTGCCACTTGCCTTCCTCCTCGGACTCCCTCTACCCCCCGTCCTCCTCTTGCTCATTCTTCCATCTTCTATCACACACTCCTCCCTCCCTCCCTCCCTCCTCTCCTCCCCCGAGCCTCCTCCTCCTCCTCCTCCTCCTCCTCCTCCTCCTCCTTCCCTCCTTCTCTCCCTCCCTCCCTCTTCTCCTCCCACGAGCCTCCTCCTCCTTGTCCTCATCCCTTCTCGTCTTCCTCCTCCCTCCACCGCCCCGTGGCCCCCTCCAGCGGGCGTCCGCCCTTCGCGGGGGCGAGCGGCGACTCCAGCAACGCGCTCTTCCCGCCGCGCCTGCTGCCTCGCCACCAGGGGGTGGGATGCGGCCCAGGGCTGCGGGGGCTCCAGCGGCCTGTGCTGTTCCAACTGCTCTGGGCGGGGGGGGAAGGGGGGAAGGGCGCCTGGAAGGAGGAGGATTCGAAGGGGAGAATGGGGGGGACCCGGAGATCCTGGCGTCTCAATTTCTTCTTCGAGCTGGGCGTCTTCGCGCGGCTTCGGGCCCTGGGGCCCTCACATATAGATCGGGCTCGAAGAATGGCGCAGAACAGTGCGGTCCAGGGCTCTGGTCGCAGTTTTGTGCGATGTTGTATTTTCTCGCAACATCGGACCTCAGGGGACGGGGGGGGGGGATGGGGCTCTCTCGGTGCAGGGTGAGGTCCGGAAGCTCGGTGTTCGTCGCCGTTGTGGACAGCAAGCCGTGTCCGATGTCCGAGGAGTCAGAGCAGTGACCTCCCGGCTGTCGTCGGCGCCGAGGTCGAGACCTCGCAAAGGAAGAGCAGCCCCTGGACCAACCGCATCTCGCTCTTGGTGGCGTCTGGAAAGGCGTGCGCGGCGGCCCCGGGCCGCAGCCGCAAGCGGGCAGGACCTGCTGGAAGCAGGGGAGCCTTGGCCGCAGCAGGCCGAACAGGCTGACAATGTGGCACCGCCAAGTCTTCAAGATACAGGGCAATTTTTAATACATTGGATTTTTAAAAATATCGGATTGTTAATACATGGCTAATCTATGAATGAATTTACGCGTCGTTGTTTTAATACTAAATCCCTGCATTTTTGATACATGTTCCGCACGCGGAGCATGCATAAAAAACGGCACTGTACTCTCCATGGATCCAGCGTCGCCTTCGCAGAGCCCGCGCGGCCAGGTAGACTCGCCGCGCTCGGTGCGGCATGTGCCGGAGGCGACGCTGCTTGCCATCGAAGGCGACCCTGAAGCTCTCGTATACCAGCCCGACGTCGCCGTCAACGTGGGCACACATCCCCATCTTGGCAGGCGCGCGGCGAACTTGCGCCATCGAGTCCTCTCGGGGATCTTCTGACCCGGGTCAATCCAGACCCGGGTCAGCAGGAAACCAAAAACTGCAATGCAGGAAACAAAAAACTGCAACGCAGGTCTTCGCAAACCCGGGTCAGCCAATATGTGCCGCCGCCTCGCGGCCACGAGCGGCTCCCTGACCCGGGTCAGCCAGAGGGGGCCTTCGCAGGATCCTGCGGAATCCGGCGCCCTGGCTGACCCCCGTCTGCATAGACCCCCGTCTCAAAGCTCCCGATCCTCGGCGCCCAGCTGGTCCCCGGCGAAGGTCGTGAAGTTGTCCGCGTGCACCCCCGAGACCGCCTGTCGGGCCCGAAGCGCCGGGGCAGGTGCGCGCTCTCGCACGAGCGATCCCGGGCACGCCGTGCTCCTGCTGGCCGGGTGCGCGACCGCCTCGTTGGCCAGGTGGAGTGCGCAAGACCAGCCCGTCGCCATGCCGTGTGGAAGAGGACGGGGCAGACGACTTCGTTGGAGTCGATCGGGGCCCGCAGACCAGCCTCGTCGTCGTAGACGCGAGACAAGCCCCACTCGCCGGCCGACCTGGGCAGGTCGATCCAGAACCAAGACCCCGGCTACTCCGCCAGCATCTGGTAGAAGCAGTCGTCGACGTCGCTGGTCCCGCCCCAGATCTCGGCCACGGGCCCGAAGTCGCCGAGGACCTGAAGCGCGGAGTCCGACAGGTCGAGCTCGCAGAACCCGCTGACCGATCCCAGTCGTGTCTTCGGTGGTGCACGATGTCGCCTGTTGGCCTGCATCGCGTCGATGATGAGCCTGATCCAGGCTGGTTCCTTCTTCTTGACGAAGAAGATCCCGATCTTGGCCTCGAGCTTCCCGCGAAAGCTGATGGGGTTCGACTGTCGACGCCGCTCGATGAAAAATAAGCGTCCGTCTTGCTGCCGAGGCAGCCCGGGTCCCAGCGCGGCCGCGGAAAGTCTCGCGCGGCCTGCAACTCCAGTATCTGCTCCGCGTCCCGCTCCATGCAGCGCGCGTTGCGCCTGGTGAGGCCCGTCGCGTCGGGCGGCAGGGGCGTCTTTGCGTCCTTCGCCGTAGTGCCCGCGCGGATAATCTCGAGCTTGTTGATGTTGTGCTCAGCTTCTTCGGCTCCTACGAGTGCGGGCCCCCGGGCGCCGTGGGCTCCGCGAGGACTCGACATCTCGCCCAGGTCTCGAGGCGGGGGGCCGTGCGCCTTGACGCGCCGAGCGACGTGCGGCAGGGCGTCGCCTTGCAGAGGGGTCGCCCCCTGGCCTCCATGTCTCCTCGTGCTGGAGACGCTAGAGAAAAAGTATTTGCGGTGGAGAATTGGTTTATATTTAAGTAAATGAAGGGGCCCCAGGACACACAAATCAATACACACACAAATGAAATTATTCCCCATATTTTCCCATATTTTCTGGTTTTCTGTCTTCCCCCTCACTTCCTATATTTTCCGGGGAATCGACGATTCATTGTGTCTGTGTGTTTCTTTCCTTCCTGAGTAAAGTATGTGCGGTATTGCGACGAAAATTCAAAACATGCTTAAACAAAAATCCCAAACTTCCAAAAAAAGTGCTCAAATAATCGTCCCCGTACTATTTTTTGACTATTTGTGATAATTCCCCCTGTAGAGGGACAAGCCCGACTTAAGTTTAGATACCTATGCGCTTCACATTCGCATTCTCGCCGACGCCGCTGCCCCAGCCGACGCCGCCGAACGCGGGGGGCGCCGGGAGAGGCAGGCGTAGCTGAAGTTGGTGACGGCAACGGGCAGAGCTCCCCATGGCGTCGCCGCGTGCAAAGACGCCGTGGAGCGCCGGCGCCTCCGCGATCAAAACTGGCGGCGGGGGCGGCCGTGGTGCCCGACCGCTCCTGCCGGGAGGGGGCCGACCACTGAAGCCAACCCCCGGGGCCTTCTGCCCGGTCGCCTCTGCCGGCGGTGCCCTGCGTGGGCCCCTTCGGCCTCCCAGGGTCGCGCCTGTCTTCGCCTTTTTCGCCGCGTGGCCGTTTCTCCTCCTGGGCCTGCTCCTCGCGAAGCATAAAACAGGGCCAGGGTCGGGATAAATCGCTCCAGAGCGTTCCCGAGCGCTCTCAGAGCGTTCCGGAACGCTCTGGAGCGGCCGCGGCGCCCAATACATCCTCCAAACCCGCCGATTCTCAGAGATTTCGAGGTATCCCGATCCGATTTTGTCCCGATCTTCGCGTCGTTTGAGAGCAGCCGTGCCTGCTTGAGCGTCGGCGCCCTCTCGCCCTGCTGGTTGTGGATCCACTCGCGGGAGGGCTCTCTGGAGGCGGCAGGCCGCCGGGCGCCGCGTGCCAGTCCCCGCGGTCTGGATGGCTGGCGTTCCGTTCGACCGCGAGCTCGATCCTCCTCCTCCTCCTCCTCCTCCTCTTCTTCCTCCTCCTCCTCCTCCTCCTTCTCCTCCTCCTCCTCGTCGGGGAATGAGCTGCTCGAAGCGCGCTGGGTTCGGGGTGTCGAGCTGGTGCACTTGGCCCTGGCCGACGCCGCTGTCCTGCCTCCGCCCGCTCTCATAGATCGCCACGGGGCCAGGTCCAGCCCGCGCCGACTCCAGGTGCTCAAGCGCCGCCCTCGGCGGGCAGAACGGCCAGTGGTCGAACTTCTCCTCGGCGAAATGCTGCGCCGCATCGTGGGGCGCCAGGTTGCCCTTCCCATGCTCGCGGTGGGTGCCAGGGACTCACGCGTCGCCCTCGGACTCCTCGCGCTTCTGCTTCCACTCGTCGACCTTGTCAGCCGAGACACGCTCCGCGAAGCGCTTCTGTCCCAGCCAGTCGACGACGCCCAACGATCCGAGAGACGAGAACCACTGGTCGTCCTCCAAAATCTCGGCGGGAAGCTCCTTTGCCAAAATCGTCGTCCCCCGCCTCGTGCGCAGGCCACTTGACCTCCTCGGCCTCCTCGACATCGACCTCCCCGAGGATGGCCGCCTGCGCTCTAGCTTGGCGTTTGAACTCGTCCAACTGCGCTCGGGAGACTCTGTCGTCATCAAACGCGTTGTGGCGAGCCGCAGTGCCCCCAGGGAAGGCTGCCCTCCGCGCGACGATGCGGTGGCGCTGCTCGTCGCGAATTGTGAATCTGCATGCCCAGGTCGGCCGCGAGGCAGACGCATCGGCCGCGCGAAACACGACGGAGAAGGGCGCGATCATGCCGCGCCAGCCGACTCTCGTTATCAGAGCCGCGACTGCCCGCTCGCGCGCCGCCGCCGGGGCGGCAGCGATCGCCTGGGCCCCCTCGGGCCGCGCCGCAGCCCGCGGCAACGGCCAATCGGCAGCCTCGCCGTGCCCGCGACCAGTGCGCCGAACGCGCTGGCGGGGAAGATGTCCCTGGCTGGCTCCGGCGCAGGATACTTGCAATCGCAATGCGCCGCTGGACAAGTTGGTCCAGTAATGGTCGCGCGCGTCAAGCTGGGGCGCGCAGGGACGGTTGAAATGTCGCGCGGCGCCAAGCAGTGTGAGCATCGGCTCGGCGAACCAGGTCGTCAGAGCTTGAACGCACATGTAGCGGCAGAGCGTGCCCGCCGAGCTGGACAGAGGAACAAATAATGCAATGGTTTGTTGAAAATGACTCCAATCTACGAGTACTCCGGAAATGTGGGAAACATGCAATCACCACAGAAAAAATGTTTTTCGTGGTGAGTCCAAGTTTCTCGTACTCATCCTTTCCCAGGGCCTTTCCCCCCAGGTTCTCCGAAATTCGGGATGCGAATTATGGGGAACACGAAATCACAATGAAATCCAGCATTTGTGTGGTGTGGTGATTCCAAAGTTCCCATACTTCAGAATTATGGGAGACCCATGACCGGGCGACTGCTGGGGACATCGCGGTCCCGAAATTCGGAATTTGAATTATGGGCAACCTGGAATCACCACAAAAGCTTGCATTTTTTGTGGTGATTCCAAATTTCCCATATTTCGGAAATCTGGGAAACTTGGAATCACCACGGAAAGTCAATTGTTTGTGGTAAATCTAGATTTCCCACTATTCCGACTTATGGGAAACCCATGGCTGGACGACTGCCGGGGCCCCCACAATTTCCCGAAGTTCGGAATGTGAATTCTGAGCAACCTGGAATCACCACAGAAACGCCGGTGTGTTCTGGTGGTGACTCCATGCTTCCAACCATTCGGAATTATGGGAAACCTGGAATCACCACTTCAAGCCTTTTTTGTTGTGGTGATTCGGAATGTCCCATAATTCCGAATAGTAGAAAACCAATGGCCGGACGACTGCCGGGGAACCCTGAAATCACCACAACCAACTTTCTGGTATGGTGACTCGGGGCTTCCCATAATTCGGAACAGTGGGAAAGCTGAAACCACCACAAAACAGCAAGGGTGTTCGTGGTGATTCCCAAATTTCCCGTTATTCACAACCCCGAGGGGCCTCTCCCCGAAGGTTTCCCGAAGTTCGGAATTCGAATTATGGGAAGAATGGAATCACCACAAACTTTTTTCGAACGCAGTGACTAGAAGCTTCCCACACTTCCCAATCATGGAAAACCCATGACTGGACGACTGCCAGGGACCTCCGGGGATTCAGTTGGGACCTCGCGGCTCCCTGGGGGGCTGCGAAGTGCGCAACCGTCGCCACTTTCGTGGGCTCGTGGGAGGTTCCGCGGAGTGGGGGGATTCGGGGATCCAGTTGGGACCTCGCGGTTCCTTTGGGGGCTGCGAACAGTGAGTGACAATCGCCACTTTCGTGGGGACCTGGGAGATCCCGCGGAGTGGGGTGCTACGGTGATCGAGTTGGTACCTCGCGGCTCCCTGGGGGGCTGGCCAGTGCGCAACACCTGGCATTTTCGTGGGCTTCTGGCAAGCGGGGCAGAGTGGGGTGCCACGCGCTCCTCGCCGAGACCTTGCGGCTCTCTTGGGGGCGGGGCAATGCGCAACTGTCGCCACTTTTGTGGGCTCCTGGGAGGTCCAACGGAATGGATGTGTACATGCGCAGGCCCAGCCATTACTCCCGTACTCCCGCTGCCGTGCTCTTCTGATTTCGCTTCTGGGTGCTCCGAGCACTGCGGGTCCTTCCATCTGTTCGTCTGTAGTGAGCAGCCCTCGGTATAGTCGCAATATGTTTGTAAAAGGGGGTTAGGTACGTCACCGGGTAATTTGTTATGTGTGGGTGTGGCGGGGGCACTGGCGCCTTGCAGGTCCATAGATCTCGGCGCTTCTGCTCGCTTCGCCTGCTGGGCCCTTCCCAGCTACCCCCCGCCCCTCTCCCGAGGAGGTCTTCTCCGGCTGCTCTGTCGCCCGGAAAGTCGGCTCGATCTCGGCGCTCAGCCGGTTCCCCACCGCCTCGCGCAGCCGTCCCTGGCTGCTGACCGCCCCCAGCTGCCCCGCGGCTGCCGCCCCGACGCCCCGGCGCTGCCCCGCCGCGGCCTGGCCCCGCTCTGAGCGGGTCCGGCCTCCGTCTCCCTCCCGCCCGCGCCAAGCCTTCCCCCTCCTCCTCCTTTGCACCGCGGCTAAATTAGAACATGTACGCCCTACATGTGCCCCATCCGCCAGCGCAGTCACTCTGCCTAGCCGCCGACGCAAAAGTGTGTGTGTGTGTGTGTGTGTGCGTGCGTGCGTGTGTGTGTGTGTGTGTGTGTATGTGTGGCGGGGGCCTCTCTCAAGAGACTTCAAGCCGCGGAGGCCGAACAGGCTGTCTGTACCATCTGTGCTAAGCAGAAAGCGCAGGAGGAGCAGCCCGCATCCTCGCGTCGCTTGCAAGCGGGCGAGCTTAATCTCGCCCGCCCCGTCGTACCTCTGGCGCTCCGCTGACGCTCCAACCAACGGTCGCTCGCGCTGACGTTCATCGGATGCGGCGCTCGCTCCGGAGAGGGAGAGGCGGCGGCAGGGGGCATGCAGGGGAGGAGGGAGGGGAGGAGGGAGGGAAGGAGGGAGGGGAGGAGGGAGGGGAGGGGGAAGGGGAGGGGGAGGGGGAGGGGAGGGAAAGCGAGGGAAGGGGGGAGGGGAGGACGGAGGCAGAAGGGGGAGGAGGGGGAGGAAAGGGGAGGGGCATCAAAGCACAGGTGGGAGGGAGTGGCCGGGACGGGAAGGGAGTAGGCGGTGTGGATGGGACTGGAGGGGGAAGCCGTGGGTCGGGACCACGATGGATTGGAAACGAAGCGGGAAGGGATGAAATGGATGTGGATGGCAACGGAAAACACCATCCCCCATGCCCACCCCTCCCCGGCGCTCCTCCCCTGCCATCCTCTTGTTCACCCTTCCACTCCCTCTCTCCCCGCCCTCCTTCCCCTCCCTCCAGCCCCTTTTTCCATCCTCCTCTCATCCGCAACCTCGTCTGTTCTTTTCTCCCCTGTCACCGCTGACTCCCCCTCCCTCTTTTTTGTTTGCTCGATCCTCCTTTCCCTGTACTTCCTTCCTGGTTCCTGCTTCCTTCGTCCTCTTTCTTCTCTGTACCACTTTCCCCTTGCCCACTCCGCCCTCCTCATTCGCCCTCCCTTATCCTTGCGCCTCCTTCTTCTTCCTCTCATCCCTCCTACTCTTCCCCTCCTCCTCCTCCTCCTCCTCCTCCTCCTCCTCCTCCTCCTCCCTCCATCCCTTCCCTCCCTCCCTACCTTCCTCTCTCTCTCTCTCTCCCTCCCGTCTCCCCCTCCGTGTGCCCCCCCTCCTTCTCCTCCTCTCCTCCTCCATCCCGCCCTCAGGCATGTCGGTAGGGCAGGCCGGACGTTTCGCCAGAGACGTTCTTCCCATTTATGAGCCTGAAGCGTGAAATACGCAACAGCTTCCAATATGGAAGGAGGTTCGTTTTCATGCTGTAGCTCTCGCCTTAACGCCGCGCGCGTAAATCTTAAATCTGTGTGCGTTCGCTCAAAAGGTTGAGGGCAGCTCATTCTCAACATGTAGCTCTCGTCTTAGCAACGCGCGCACTTGTCTTACAGATGTGCAAGAAGTTAAAGAATGGAGGGCGGTTCGACTTCACAATGTGGCGCCCGCCTTAGCGCCGCGCACATTTGTATTCATCGTTTGCATCAGTTTCAAGGATGGTGGGCTGTTCGTTTCTTAAGTACGGCTCTCGCCTTAGCGCCGCACGCATTCGTCTGAGACGTTTGCAACATATTAAAGGATGGAGGGCGGTTCCTCATCAATTTGTGGTGATCACCTTGTCGCCGCGTGCAATCGTCTGAAACACGTGCAACAGTTTTTCGGATTCGTACAGTTGGAATCACCGGAGACGTGTGCTGGGGTGATATTTTATTGTCAGAGCGCAACAGACACGTTGATGCGTGGTGTTGCAGTCTCAGACATTACGCCCTGGCACGATTTAGGATTGTCAAGACGCAACAATCAGGTTGATTCGCGGCGTTGAAATCCAAACATGTGTTTCGGCACGATTGGATATTCTCAGACGGTTGTCTTCCGATGGGGCACCTCCCACAATGCAGATACATTCTTGTAGAGAACTAAAGGCTTCTTGCAACGTCATTGATGCGTTTTGGGTCCACTCTCGTCCCTCCTCCTCTTCCTCTTCCTCCTCCTCCTCCTTCCTGGTTTCTGGTTCCTGTCGGCTAGTGTGTTCGGTGAACGCACCCCTCCCCTCCTCCTCCTCCTCCTCCTCCTCCTCCTCCTCCTCCTCCTCCTCCTCCTCCTCTTCCTCACCGGGCGAGGGGGGAGGCGCCGCTGCGGCTGGACCTCTTCACTGACCCGTAGCCGCGCCCTGCCTTCCGGGCGCAGGGTGGGGCGGTCTCAGCGTTCCTCGCCGTGCTCTGCCTCCCTCCTCCCCGTCCCAGGTCTTCGTGAGGGGCGCACGGGGCGGAGGGGGAGGGAGGGCTGGTGGAGGAAGGTAACCCAGACCTCCTCGCGATTTAACAGGAGTCACGGCGGAAAGTCTTCGGCCATCCCAGAAATCCTCGTCAGGCCTCGGGACCGTCAACAAAGCAACCCAGGAAGAACTGCCTGTTCCAGGCAAGGGGTCGAGAGATCCCTGGGAGTCCACGCTCCGAGGGGATCACGACGCCGCAGGTCTGGGGGTGGGGGAGACGGAGGCGGAGGCGGGGTACGGCAGGTTCGTGTCGTGTCGACCCCAGCGTTGGTTCCCGACACCGCGCTGGATCGTTCAACCTTGAACGATCGGCCGTCTCCGCAACGTCCGATCGTTCAACATCGACCGATTCTGGGCCGCCGGCGGCGTTCAACCTTGAACGTCGGCGGCGGGGTCGCCGCCGGTCGACACGACGCGAACCTACCGTATGGGGCGTGGGGAGGGAGGGGGAATTTGGAACAGGGCTCTGCCCGCCATCCTCCCCCCATTTCCCTTCGTCAGCGTGAATGGGCGGGCCTTTTCCTGCGACGACAGCGCGGCGAGCGACCCGCGACGGCGCTCCGTGCCTGCACGACCAGGCCTGGAACGTCCCAGCGAAGACAGCCTGGCCCCAGACAGCGACGGACCCCCGCCGCCCCGTGCCACCCGCCACTCAGGTCGGAGGGGATGGGGCGGGAGGGGGCCAGGCAGTGCTGAAGGGGTCGCCGCCTCCTCCAAGGCAGGGGACTCCGTGGACCCCCCAGGAGTCCCCCAGGACTCCCGGAGACGGCCGAGAACGTCCAAGGCCTCCTCGATCCTCCCTGCTCCTCCACCTTCGACTTCCAGGAGGAGCTGGCGACACCCCCAGGGTGATCCCCGCCACGTTGGTATTGCGTGACAGGAGGAAGGGGAAGGGCGGAAGGGGGAGGCAGATTGGGATGTGGGGAAGGGGAATGGCAAGTTGGAGCAGGGCCAAGGCGGGGGGAATAAGGGCGAGGAGGAGGACGCAGAGGAGGGAGGAATGAGGGTGAGGAGTGAAGAGTACTCCAAATTCTTCAATCAATATCCTCCCCGTGCCACTCTGCCAGGCGGTCCGTTCCAGCCCCTTACGCGTGCCGAACCCACCCCTTCACGCAGTCCTGCCCTCCCACACCCAACGCCGGACCCGCCCCTTCTGACCCCCCCTCGCGATCCACCCATCCACGCTTGTTGAGCAGCCCGGAGTCAGCAGAAGGCAAGTGAGAAGATGCAAGACGACGCCAACTCCTTCACTCTCCCTGGATAAGCCTGAATCACTTCCGTGGCGGCAAATTGCCCATTGTTGCTCAACTTGACATGGCCCTGGCCGCTTTGTCAAGAACCGCGCCTCCGCTCTGAAGGATGAATCCGCAATCTCAATAGAAAGGTCCCTAATCATCGATGGCCTGGCAGTCCTGAACCCGTCCATGGTGGACGCTAATTCCATCTCGCATGCCGCTGCACACTGGCCTGCCCGACTGTCGCCGTCAGCGTGGATAGACAGAATTTCAACACAGGCGCAGACGCTGACTGAGGGCGTGGGCCCATGGTTCTCTGTGTCCGGAGGGCCTTTTGCCCTAGTCCAGAAGGGTGTTGTGAAGGGGGCCTTGGGCCTTGTCACGTGTAAGAGCGCGTGCGTGGAAGGCGGGGGGTGGGGGCGAACTTGTGGCAGGCACGCGTGCATCTCGCGCGTGTTCTCACGCGCGAAATTAAGTGCCAGTGCGCCGAGAAGGGGGGGGTCTCCGGCATGCGGCCGCCGGACTCCTCACGCGGCGGGGGCTATCGGACCTGCGCTCGGCGCGTGCGCATTCGGCAAGCACTTTCACGTGTAGGCGCCAATGGGGGATACGCTCGGAAGCTTTTGCCGGCTCTGGCGATAATCTGTGCCTGCAAGCTAACACGTAGCGAGTCGCTCCGCTCCGCGGGGCGGGAGGCTTCGAAAGGCTTGGGACGTTGACACCTGGGAAATTGGGACGCACTTGGCGTGTCGCGCCGGGGCGTGGTGGGCCAAAACCGGCGGCGCGACACGCCATGCATGAGTTCCCGACCGTATCTAGCATCCCGGCTGCGCGCGGTTCTGGAAACCCTGGACCAGCAAAAACCCAACCATCTCTTGAGAAGCAGACTTTTACTTCCGCCGGCTTCCGGCGGCGGCGGCAGCCTTGTTTTGCTTCCGCCGCCTTCCTTCGAGCAAGAGATGGCAACGCCTTCGATTCTCGAAGCCGAAGCCCTGTCTGGAGCGCGTGACGTGCAACCTGCAGGCCCGCGTCGTGGCACGCGACCTGATGTACGGCACTGCGGGTCGGCGGCGGCGCCTGGTCACAGCGAGGCGGCGGCCAGCGAGGCCGTCGCTCGGCGAAGGAGGGGGGGACAACTGGCAGAAGGAGGAGGAGGAGGAGGAGGAGGAGGAGGAGGAGGAGGAGGAGGAGGAGGAGGAGGAGAAGGAGGAGCTGGAGGAAAGCATTTTTTTCCGGCGGCGCCTTGGGCCCAAGCTGCAAACGTGGCTACGGCAGGGCTGCTGGGGAGGGGATGAGGCACAAAGGCGGCGAGAAAGGCCCGGAGGGAAGGGGGGCGAGGGCCGTGGACGGTCGGAGAGCCCCGATAACGTGAAGTTGTTCGGGGTGTGCCAGAGGCAGGCCCAGGTCTTTGTAGCTGTCAGTGCGTTGGCAGAAGCATTGCGCATTGACTGGAGAAAGACAGGACAAGACTGGGGAGGATTGGCACGACGGGAACGGGTCCCGAGGGAAACGGGCCCTGGCCCCCGAGGCCTCGCACCGCCGGCGGCACGAGATCTCTCTGAACTATCGGGGGGCGCCGTCACATCTCGCGGCAAACCTCTCATCCCGAGCGGGCTTTTGCCAGTTTCAGAGACAATGATCAGGGGGGAGGAGGAGGAGGAGGAGGAGGAGGAGGAGGAGGAGGAGGAGGAGACGAGGAGCAGGAGCAGGAGGAGCAGGAGCAGGAGGAGCAGGAGGAGGAGGAGGAGGAGGAGCTTCAGGACCCGCTTCCCTCAGGGCCTGCGTGCGTCATGGCGGGAGGGAGCGATCTGGAATCTCCGAGGGCGTGGCAGAGGGCCCGGGACCCCCGACCGGCCAGACAACACGAATGCCGAGGCCGAGAGGACGGCGCCCGCGTCACTCCCTCCTCCCTCCTCCCTCCTCCCTCCTTCCTCCCAGCCTTGCATCCGTCCTCCGCCCGTCCTCGTCGTCGTCGTCGTCGTCGTCCTCCTCCTCCTTCTCCTCCTCCTCCTCCTCCTCCTCCTCCTCCTCCCCATTCAACCCCTTTCACTCACAAACAACTCCTCCCCGTCGTACTCCGCGTGGCGTCGCCAGGCCCCTTGCCTTGTCAGGGAGAGCGGCGCTGGCGTCTCGGCCGCCAGAACCTCACCAAGACAGCCCGACAAGAGCGGCGGCGGCACGCGCGAGACAACACTTTGGACGCCCGAAATGGGTACGGAAAACATGGGTACAACGCCCAACAACAAATGTTGTCCCAAACCAGCAGCGGCCGCTGTTGGGCATGCGGCCTTCTGTCTCGAATGGACACAGGCCGCGGCGACACCGACAGCGAGTCCTGTTCAAAATTAACAGGAACTGCTGTTGGGCATTGTACCCATTCTTTCCGTACCCATCTCGGGCGTCCAGAAACACAGGCACGTGCGTGCGGGCACAAAGTGGTCGACGCTGGCGCTGTTCGCCAGGCCGAGAGCGGGGAACACAAGGGTCTTGCCGGGCACATGCCAGAATGGATTCACGAAGCCATTGATCTGGCGCGTGGGCGCCAGATCCACGGCTCGGGCAGAATTGCCGCCTGATTTTGGGACGGGGTGCGCCGGCTTTGTACGGAGGTGGGCCCGTCGCTATCCTAGATAAAATCACATAATCACAAACTTTCGGAGTTCCGCGAGGACCTCCATAAGCTAATGTTTACGCATCTTCTCTTGTTCGGAATCCGCGCGCCTTAATCCACGTTGGCGCTTTCTCGACTCCGGGGCTGGGCCCGGGACCCAGCCCCAGACCTTGGCCGAAGCCGGCGTGCGCGCCCAGAGCGCTGGCCGCAGCACTGCAATCTGGTGGGGGTCGCGACCGACGTTGCCGGCCAGCGCCCGCGTGCGCGTGCGGCACACCCCCGGCCGAGGTTAGGGGGAAAACAAACCTACCTCGCTTTTGACCACCCTCGCTTCCAAGGGATACCAAACGATGCCAAGTTGCAGCCTGTACTGGTCAGGCCGCTTGACGAGGAGGCGCGTGGCATGGCTTGGTTTTGCCTGGAAGCGAAAGCGGGGTAGGCAATGCACGCTCTGAGAGGTGCAGTCTGGCGATGATCTGCGCCAACCTCTCGACTTTCGGAGGCCCGCGTGGGAGGGGTAGGAGGAGGAGGAGGAGGAGGAGGAGGAGGAGGAGGAGGAGGAGGAGGAGGAGGAGGAGGAGGGGGAGGAGGAGGAAGGGGAGGAGGAGGAGGAGGAGGGGGAGGAGAAGGGGGGGAGGAGGGGGAGGAAGGGCAGGGGGAGGACGAGGAGTCCCTCCATACCTGGCGAGCGGGGCGCGCCAAGGGCGGCGCCGGAGGCTCCGCCAGCGGGGGGGGGGGGGGTCCGGCGCCGCTCCGAGGCATGCGCGCGGACCTCCAGCGGTTGGTGCTCCTGTAGGCGCTTGCTCTTTCTCCCCTTCCTTCCTCCCCTTCCTCCCCTTCCTCCCCTTCCGTCCATCCCCTCCCTTCCTTCCTTCCTCCCTTCCTCCCCTTCCCCAAACGCCATCCCCCTCACTTGCTCCTCGACTCCCTCCCTCCCGTCCCTCTCTCTCCCCCTCTCTCCTGCAGAAGAGTGTGCTTGCGCTTCCATTTTTTTTTGTTTTCCGAGCGGTGCAGTCCGACGAGGAGGAGCGTGCCTGGGAGGAGCCAGCAGGTGCCCGGGGTGGGGGGGTCGGCGCGGGGGGCCGCTGGCCTCCATCTGCCTCGGCGAGGCCACCTCCTGCCGGCGGGGCGCGGGCGCGGGCAGCGGAAGACCCCCCCCACCACGCCTCGATGCTCGCGCCTCGATCTCAGCACTGTTTCTCCTCCTCGTCCTCCTCCCCCTCCTCCCTCTTCTCCTTCTCCTCGTCCTCCTCCCCCTCCTCCCTCTTCTCCTCGTCCTCCTCCTCGTCCTCCTCCTCGTCCTCCTCCCTCTTCTCCTCTTCCTCCTCCTTCTCCTCCTGTCGCTGCCCTGCCGTGCCCTGCCCTCCCCCCCTCTGCCCTTCTGCCCCTCCCCCTCCCCTCCCGCCGCTGCCCCCCCCCCCCCCATCTATCCCTGCCTCGTTCGCTCTTCCTCCTCCTCCTCCTCCTCCTCCGCCTCCTCCTTAGACGATGCCTACGTCGGCCCTTCATCGAGTTGGTTTTCGGTGCCAAGTTTGGCAGCCTTTACGCGGATGAATGTGCACTCGGCGGATGTGTAGGGCTCCTGTCTCGGAGCTTGGGCTGGCACCCTGCCAATCATATGATCCCGAGCTAGCATTTTCTCTTTCAGTCGGGCTACGCCCGAGTCTTCAGCGTTGCCACTTGCCACACATCCACGCTGCTGGCCTTGTCTGGATAAACTTCTTCTACTCCTCCTCTTCTTCCCGCTCCTTGTCCTTATTCGCTTCCATTTCCCCCGCATTTTCCTCGTTCATCAGTCTCTCATTGTAGCCATCGGTCCCTCCCGTCTTCTTTTCATCAATCTCTCCACCTTTCCTCTGTCCCTCTCCCACGCTCCTCCCCCCTTCTCCTCTTTCCTCCCGTCCGTGTCGCTACACCCGTTCCTGACCCCGATGTCAGTGCTCCGATTCGGTTCCCCTCTCGGACTCCTTCGCCCCTCCACCTCGCCCCCTCCCATGATTTCCTTTCCCCCATCCTTCATGCTTCCCTCCCTCCCTCCACCTGTTTTTGTCCCTCGCTCCCATTCACCCTCAACTCTCCGCTGCTCCCTCCTCTCTCCCACCTCCTCCCGTCTTTCCTTATTTCCTCTCTCCCTCCACCCCTCCGTCTCTCCTCCTCTCCTCTTATTATCTCCTTCACACTGCTCGCCCTTCGCATGGTTATTCTGCTCCTTCTCCTTCCTCTTCTTCTTCCTCCTCCTCCTTCTCCTCCTCCTCCTCCTCTTCCTCTTCCTCCTCCTCTTCCTCCTCCTCCTCCTCCTCCTCCTCCTACTCTCTCCTCTCTTTCCTCTTTCATGACAGCACCCCCCATCCCTCAAACGTGAATGCTCGGACTCGAGGCACAGCCAGTCACACGTAATTCAACATGCACTTACAGCAAACGGATGAATTCATCAATGCCTACAATGACCTGGTCTTTATCAGAGAGCAGACCCTCCGTGAGATGGCGGATTTTTCAAGCTCGTCGCAGGAGGAGGAGGAGGAGGAGGAGGAGGAGGAGGAGGAGGAGGAGGAGGAGAGCACAGCTTAGCAAGCTTCAAGTTCGGAGCACCACACCTGTACACATTGCAAGGCATGTGCACGAACAAGCGGGAGGAGTCCAAGCAAAGGATCGCAAGGACTCTGTGGCCCAAGAACTGGAACACATCGCTGTCTAAACCAAAGTGGCCGCAACAATCTACTCAACTCGACATGGGCTTCGCCCTGGAACCCATCAAACAAACACGGCAACGCCAGCACGAATCCATGTACCACACGTGATTCAGATGAAGGCCAGGAGACTGCTCGGGGATCGGAGGAGGCTTCGCCCTCCCTGTCCCGCGGAACTCGAAATTGGGCCACTGCGTCAGAAACTCCGCTCTCGCCAGCAGGACCTGCGTGGCTATGGGAACACGACGCTCTAAGTCCTCCTGGTCCACAGGCGGCATCGTGGGGTGCCGATCAGCATGCTCCTTTGCCTCCTCCTCCTCCCCCTCCCCCTCCCCCTCCTCCTCCTCCTCCTCCTCCTCCTCCTCCTCTTTCTTCACGGGGCGTGCCGGTTGTAGGCGCGGAGACCGCGAACGGAAACCCACGAGCTCATGCCATCGATCATACAACGGTATACTCTGACCTGCAGCCTGTGGTCCCTCCCCCTCCTCCCCCTCCCCCTCCTCCTCCTCCTCCTCCTCCTCCTCCTCCTCCTCCTCCTCCAATTCGTCTCTCCTCATCCTCCTCCTTCTCCCGATCCTCTTCCTTCCTCTTCCCCGTTCTGTCCTCCTCTCTCCTTCCTCGTCCCTCGCTCCTCCGAGTTCCTCCGCCCTCTTCACAACTCCTCCTCCTCCTCCTCCTCCTCCTCCCTCCTCCTCCTCACCTCCTCCTACTCTTTTTCCTCCTCAGCCTCCTCCTCCTCCTCCTCCTCCTCATCTTTCTCCCCCTCTTCCTTCTCTTCTCCTTCTCGCCCTCCTCCCTCCTTCATAGTCCCTCGCTCCTCCGAGTTCCCCCCCTCTTCCCTCCTCTTCCTCCTCCTCCTCCTCCTCCTCCTACCCTCCTCCTCCTCCTCCTCCTCCTCCTCCTCCCCCTCCTCCTCCCCCCTCTTCCGTCCCCCTCCTCCTCTCCTCCTCCTCCTCCGCCTCTCCTCCTCTCTCCTCCTCCTCCTCCTCCCCCTCCTCCTCCCTCCTCCTCCTCCTCCTCCTCCGCCTCCTCTCCTCCTCCTCCCTCCTCCTCCTCCCCTCCATCTCCTCCTCCTCCTCCTCCTCCTCCCTCCTCGTCCTCCTCCTCGTCCTCCTCCTCGTCCTCCTCCTCGTCCTCCTCCGTCGTCCGTCCTCCTCCTCGTCCTCCTCGTCCTCCTCGTCCTCTCCTCGTCTCCTCTCCTCCTCGTCCTCCTCGTGCTCATCGTCCCCTTGTCCTCCTCGTCCTCCTCGTCCTCCTCTCCCCCTCGTCCTCCTCGTCCTCCTCGTCCTCCTCCTCCTCCTCCTCCTTCTCCTCCTCCTCCTCCTCCCTCCTCCTCTTCCTCCTCCTCCCTCCTCCCTGCTCCCGCCTCCTTCCTCCTCCTGCTCCTCCACTTTCTCCCTTCTCCTTCTCCTCCTCCTCCTCCTTCCTCCTCCTCCTCCTCCTCCTCCTCTCCTCGTCCTCCTCGTCCTCCATCCTCCCCCTCCTCCTCTTCCTCCTCCTCCTTCTCGTCCTCGTCCTCGCCCTCGTCCTCGTCGTCGTCCTTGTTGTCGTCCTCGTCGTCGTCCTCGTCGTTGTCCTCGTCGTCGTCCTCGTCTTCCTCCTCGTCTTCGTCCCCCTCGTCCTCCTCATCCTCCTCGTCCGCCTTGTCCTCCTTGTCGTCGTCGTCGTCCTCGTCCTCGTCGTCGTCGTCGTCGTCGTCGACGTCGTCGTCCTCCTCCTTCTCCTGCTTCTTCTGCTCCTGCTCCTCCTCCTCCTCCTCCTCCTCCTCCTCCTCCTCTTCATCCTCCTCGTCCTCCTCCTCCTTCTCCTCCTCCTCGTCATTCTCCTCCTCGTCCTCCTCTTATTCCTCCTCCTCCTCCTCCTCCTCCTCCTCCTCCTCTTCCTCCTCCTCCTCCTCCTCCCTCTCCTCCTCCTCCTCATCCTCCGCGAGTGCTCGTGGCCATTGACTGTACATTGCCAATGGTATCGTCGGTTGTGCCCCATGTGGTGCGTGCTCTGCTCGCGGGGACAGGTCGCAGCTGTATAATTACTGCGGCCCCGACCTGTTGGTTGCCACCCCCCAGCGCAAATGGCGCAAGGATAATGTCATGTCAGGGGTCCACTCCAAAAGGGCCAAGGGTGGACCCCCGATTCCCGTGCCTAGAGAGCTCGTGGCCACTGACGAGGCCGCTAGTTGGCCAGGCCTCATATCGCTAAACGTGTTTCGGTGTGAACTCAGTTGGCTTGGTCTTGTGTGCTCGTGGGCCGAGTAGGGCCTCGAGTGCTGCGTCGGTGATGTCGCATCCTCCCCCTCGCTCGACTGCGCTAATTGCCTCGGCGTTGGCGTTGTCCTGTGTTATGTGACAGGTTGTGCCACTATGCTGTTCCCATCTCTCTTGTAGTTCCCGAGCCCGAGCTCGGCGCGTCTTCCAACGTGTTCGCTGATCCTCCTCCTCCTCCTCCTCCTCTTCCTCCTCCTCCTCCTCTTCCTCCTCTTCGTCCCCCTCCTCCTGCGTCTCTCCTCCTCCCTTCTCCAACTCCTTCTCCTCCTCCTCGTCCTCCTCCTCCTCCTCCTCCTCCTCTTCCTTTTTCTCCTCCTTCTCTCCACTTCCCTCCTGCCGCGGCGCGCTCCTCCGCAAGAGTAAAGATCAAGCCAGAGCCGGACGGAGGGCAGACCGGCATCGGCCACATAAAGGGGTTCTCGCCGAGGACGGCCCTGTGGCCATGGGAGGGCTGCTCCTCTGGCCCTCGTGATTTCGCTTCTCATGCTCCTCCTCCTCTTCCTGCTCCTCCCTCCCTCCCTCCCTCCCTCCCTCCTCGTCCCATCTCGTCCCTCTCTCCTGCTCGCTCTCG